CTAAGTCTACTGCTATTGCTAAGTCTACTGCTATTTCATGGCTAAGGCAGGACTAGAACTCACCATCTCCTGGTTTCTAGCCTGGCGCCTTAACCGCTAGGCCAAACTTGATTTGTTCTGGGACCGTTTTTTATGATTCCTCTTAGCTGCGTGTCGCTAGGCGCTCCCATAGGGATCCAACCTCTTTGAGAATCAGCTATTCTGGCCCCCCGCGTGTCCCACCTGGCCAGGCTGAGATAGCGCTGGAGATAATCCCCCTCCAAGGGCTCCGCCAGGCGCAGGGTCTCTTCCGTGCAGCTGCCAATGAAGTCGAAGGCTTCCGGGAGGAAGACGACGCAGGCGTCCCGCCGAGTTGCCTCTCGGACCAGCTGCGAACATGCCGCCCAGTTGTGTTCTTGGTCCGGGGTCGACGTCACCTGGCAGACCGCGATGAGGGGCTTTGGGCCTTGGGCACCCGACATGGCTGGGAAGCTGGAGAGAGAAAATAGGGAGATCAGAGGAAACCTATGCAGAAATCCTCAGCCCCCTGGATGAGGAAGAAAAAATTCACGTTGCATTTAACGTCTTACTGCTCCCGAGGGCGTCACGTGCAAAAGCAGCCCGGAGGCGAGTTACCTGTGGCCAGGTCCCTGTCCCTGGATCCCCCCGAACTGTTTTCCAGCACTGCACAGGATCTGCAAGGTTTTCTGGACCACCCCTCTCAACCTAGAACAGTCCAAAGGAAAAAGGGTGTTTTGTTTCTAAGCTTCTAGGACAGTGTTTCTCAACCTTGGCCACTTGAAGATGTCCGGATTTCAACTCCCAGAATTCCCCAGCCAGCATTCGCGTATAAATAATTCAGTGTCTAGGACAGTGTTTCTCAACCTTGACAACTTGAAGATGTCTGGACTTCAACTCCAGAATTCCCCAGCCAGAATTCGCTGGCTGGGGAATTCTGGGAGTTGAAGTCCAGACATCTTCAAGTCGCCAAGGTTGAGAAACACTGTTCTAGGAGAATCTGGAAAAGGAGAAGGGTTTATATACAGAAGAGAATATTTGTAGCTCAGGGGTGAACCGTGAAGTCCTTGGCGATCTTGGGAATTTGCTTCTTTGCTACTTGGACAAATCAGCCATCAACAGATACATAGATCAGTGATTCCCAAACTTGGCAACTTTAAGACTTGTGGACTTCAACTCCCAGAATTCTCCAGCCGCTGGAGAATTCTGGGAGTTGAAGTCCACAAGTCTTAAAGTTGCCAAGTTTGGGAACCACTGACATAGATAAACCATCTATCTGTCTTTTATTGTCCCCTCTTCTCAACCACCCCTGCCCCATAGATTAACTCTGTTCCAGTGGTGGGATTCAATGTCCAGCCCTAATGTCCAGCTGGGTAGGCGGGGCTCGGTGGTCATGTGGGTGTGCCCAAGTCAATGTCATTCAGGTCGATGGGCACTTCACCTTTTGTTGTTACAATGGTGATAAGGGTGAACCGGAGAGGCCGTTTCTGTAAGCAGGGCAATAAAGATGAAGCTAGAAACACCACCGGAATGTTTCCTTCCTGCCTTCCTTACAGGATTAGCCCTGCAAAGTGGGGGAAAACCAAAAGATTTCTTCCAACAACCGGTTCTCCGAACTGCGTAGAAAGTTAACAAACCAGTTCTCCCGGATAAGTGCGAACTGGCCGAATCCCACCACTGCTCTGTTCCTACAGTGTGATTCATTGGCATCTTCACACAACTCTTTGAACCCAGCTGAAGAACTAGTGCTGTGTTTCGAGCTTGGGCCCTTGATGATGGGTGGACTACGACTCCCAGAATTCCCCAGCCAGCATGCTTTAAGGATGGACTTCAACTCCCAGAATCCCTCAGCTAACAATGGTTTAAGATTGGACTGCAACTCCCAGAATCCTTCAGCTAACACTTTTAAGATGGGTAAACTACAACTCCCAGAATCCCTCAGCTAACAATGGTTTAAGATTGGACTACAACTCCCAGAATCCTTCAGCTAACACTTTTAAGATGGGTGTACTACAACTCCCAGGATTCCCTCAGCTAACAATGGTTTAAGATTGGACTCCAACTCCCAGAATCCTTCAGCTAACACTTTTAAGAGGGGTAGACT